GTGCTGTCCTATTCACGTAACTGCATTTTCACCGAATTTGTTTAGCATGTTTTTTATAGGCGAATGTTTTTATGTGAATCGAGCGAGTAAAGATCAACAAGTAATAGATGAATCATTACCCCTGGCTATTTTTGATAAATTATGTACTGCAAAACCTTTTGAATGAAACATAAGTAATTTTTAATATTAAAATAAAGTAGATAATTTCCCCTTTCACGTAACAAAATAATTATTTGCTTTTGTTTAAAAATGACTGGAGGGTATGTATTTCTTTAGCTATGGCTGTTCAATACTAGCATCTGGGAAAGTGCAAACAATTAATAATTATGTCGACAGACATTATGTATTTTTGTGAGGAATTCCGCTTTTTTATTTTCTCGTCTTTCGTCCCCTTTTTAGGCAAAATGTGCATCGCGTGATTTAGAGAATTATGAAATCTAGAAAAGTTCTGGAAAAGGTAAGATATTCTCCGACATTGGAGATTGATCAACGCATATTTTTCTCTCAAGTAACGGTCCAGATTCGGCGCCATAAGCTACACAAGTGGAAGAAAAATGTGCTTTGGATAATTATTGTTATCTTTGTCCAGCGCCATTTAGCCAGAGAACGAAAAATAATTTCTTTCTTTGTTTTTCAAATTTCCTTTATTGTTGTTTTATATTATAAGCAGTTCAAAGAGTAAATCAAAGCAAAAATGCAATGTTTACAGTCTACTGATAGGATCTGCTTGGAGCAGTAGGTTGAACCTACTCTGACTGGACCTACTAGGTTCAGTCAGAGGCGGAGTCTGTTGACATCGCAACTTGTGCGCAGTGCAATTGCAATCTAGTTTTTTATTCAAGTAAAGTTAACTAAGAAAAGGAAAACGACTAGTGAAAGTTCATATAAAGAAGATAGTCTTGAAAAATGGAATAGTTGAAGGCCTGTAAAAAGTTGGATCAGGCTACTGCAGAAGCCAGAATCCACAAGTCATGTTAATGCGAAGAAATTATCCTAGTGCACGTACTAAACCATTAGTACTAACTTTAGTACTCATTGTTGGTAATGCAACGAGTACTAATAAAAAATCGTTAGTATAGTGTATACTTTTTCTTTGTTGTGCCACACCCTTCCTCACTCAATTTATGTGTCTCGTTTTGTTCTAATAGGGGGGACGAAAGACAGAAGAAAATAAAAAAGCAGAATTCCTCACAAAAATACATAATATCTGTCGGCATAATTATTAGGTGTTTGCACTTTCCCAGATGCTAGTATTGAACAACCATGGCTAGAAACCATTGAAATATGTTGTTCTAGATTCATTTTTTGATGCTGAATCTAGAAAACTTAGTTTCGAGCATTGAAACCAAAACGCGATAAAACTACGTTCATTTTTTCTGGTTAGACGCGAGGCATTTTTTATAGTCGATACTGTCAGAAAAGTGAAGTGACTGAGTAATCATCGACTATTTTTCCGTTACCGTAAGAGATGCTTTACGGTCCTACCGTTTCAAATTTTAATTTACCGAACGATGAACATGTGTGCAGTTGGAAACATACTAGAAAATATGCATTCTACATCATTCAAATACAATTTACTGGTAGTTAATAACTTTTTGATCACAGTGGATTAGTGTTTTATTCTTCAACATCGAAAAAGCGCATTTCTTCAAAAATTGTTCCCCGCAAAAACGGTTTTAGAAGTGTTCCTCAGCTCGTACTTCGAAAATGACCTTTTTTCAAGCGTGTTCCACGGTAAGACAATTTCAAAAGTGTTCTTATGCTTCTCGTTTTAAAACGTGAACTTTCTCAAAAGTAGTCTACTGTGGATCACTTTCAAAAGTGTAGCGATACTCATCATTTTAAAAGTCTCCTTTTAAAATGATCTTTCAAGATCTTAACTCACAAAAGGTTATCAAAAATTTTCGCAGAGTTGCTGAACATTCAGTGTACAAAGCAGGTACAAGTTGCAGTCATATTGCAATTTAGTTATTTTAAGAATTTTTCTAATACAAGATGAGCCTATGGATATTAGAGATGTATATAATAAAATGCGTATAACTTGTGAAAACAAGTCGTACAGAGTTTGCAAAAGCAACTCGTGTTTCGAAGAGAAAACAATTTCTGTTTAGAATAGGTAGCTGAACAGGCTTTAGCTACAGAACTGATAACGATGTTTAGACTATAATATTTTAGAAAACTGGCTACAGAGTGAATATGACTGAACTGACAAATCTAAGATTACAATCGGATAAATCAATTACAAAATATGAAATAATTATTCTTACAGCTGAAATAAAATTCAAAAAGAGAGAGTTAAGTCGTAACCATCGTTTACTTAGAAATATAAAATATAATTTTCAATATAGTGTTCTTCACATATTATTCGTCCGACGTTTAACTATATAGTCATATTCATTTTAACTTTATATCGTGTTAAACTTCTGTATCGTCTTAAAAATGAAAAGTTTCGAAACGTCAGCTTTATTTTTATAAAAAAATTTTAAATTTTTATTAAATAAATATAAATCTAAAAGCATATAATCTATCATTGACCTATTTTATCAATTCTAAAATTTCTAACCCTGAACAGGTATAATGTTTCAAAATTCTTATCTGCTAAATCAAATGGAGAAAAATGAAAATATTTACAATGAACGCTGAATTTGGCATGACTTTTCAATTTTCTATTTATGAAAGCATAAATATTCTATAAAGAGAGTCAAAAAGTGAATCATATACATTAGCAAGGAACACATGTTGTAACGAGGGAAACGGCAGCCGGAAAAAGTAACTTAATTTATAATTTCAAAGTGTACAAAAGTTTTTAAAATATTTGAGAGCTGCTGTAGCATTAAAAAGTTCCAGTAGACATGACAAGATAAACACCGGAGGTAAGCGGAGAATTTCAGCATTTTTTGCAATAAACTTTACAGATTAGGATAGTTTATCGAACCGAAGAAAGCTTACCAAGGTTTGGGTTCCTTCCTGCTTTTATTTTTTATAAAATTCTCAAAACTACTACATCAGACTACTACATTCAATTGTCCACGGTCTAGTTTTTTCTTAGCATCTCGCGAAAGGTGCTGTCCTATTCACGTAACTGCATTTTCACCGAATTTGTTTAGCATGTTTTTTATAGGCGAATGTTTTTATGTGAATCGAGCGAGTAAAGATCAACAAGTAATAGATGAATCATTACCCCTGGCTTTAATCGATACTTTGCAATATCTACTACTAACTACTGGTTCTGTCGTAATCATTGGAATAGCTAACCCATGGGTACTTCTGATTCTCATTCCGTTGGCTCCCACTGTTTTGTGGCTTCGTCGGTTTTACATGCGTTCAAGCCGTCAACTCAAACGACTGGAAAGTGTAACGCGTAGTCCTATTTATACATTGTTCGCCACCTCGTTAGACGGACCCACTAGTATTCGTGCGTTTGACGTTCAGACGATTTTTTGAACAAGTTCATCGACCGAATCGATACAAATTCACGAGCTTACTTCATTCTCTCTGCCACTACGCATTGGTTTGACTTACGACTGGATCTTCTGACATCTTCACTTACTTTGGCTACTGGGATTCTCGCTGTAGCGTTGCGTCATCAGATCGATCCATCGACAGCAGCCCTTAGTATGAGCTACTGCATTACCTTAACAGGTCTCTTTCAATGGGCCATACGGTAATAAGCCGAAGCTGAAAATTTCATGACCAGTGCAGAACGTATTCATGAATACGGTCAACTACTCCCAGAAAGCTATCAGAACGCTAATGACAGCGATGTGCGCCTTCAACCAAACAATGACTGGCCTTCTCGTGGTATTATCGAATTTAAAAACTACACTTTTCGCTATCGGCCAGAGCTCGATCCTGTACTAAAAAATCTTAATCTACGAATTGACTCCAGGGAAAAGATTGGAATTATCGGTCGAACAGGTACGATTCTTTCATTTCCATATATAGACACGAAGTAAGTTGAAAACAGGTCGATATAGACAGACGAAAGACACCTTTTACCAAAAATGAAAATAGTTGAAAGTAGTTCTGCTATATTGACCTTTCTCGAGTCTCAACGCATGACTAATTATACCCATGCAAGAATTCTAATCGAATACGATCATAGCGAATGATTCTTGACATACATCTGCCGTATCAAGCTCACTCTGAATAATCTATTTTGATTATGTGACGCTCCTGCAACTACGGTTGATACTGGAAAATGTATACCGCAAAATGCTGATGTTATTCTTTATCAATAGTGCACTCTCATGCCAATCTAGAGTATTAGAACGCGTATTAATAATTCCCTTCATGATGAAATTTCCTTGTTAATATTTCTTTCTATTCCTTTAGGTGCGGGAAAGTCATCAGTTCTTCAAGCTCTCTTTCGACTTGTCGAGCAGTCATCAGTCAATGGAACCATTCTCATCGATGACATCGATATTGGGCGTCTGTCTCTTGATTATCTTCGTTCCCATATAAGTGTTATCCCACAAGTACCGATACTCTTTTGTGGTACCCTTCGATACAATATTGATCCGTTCGTACAAGTTACCGATGAAGAGTGTCTTACAGCGCTTGAAGCTGCTCAACTCAAATCATTGGTGCGCAACCATCCCGGTGGAATGCATTTGCTGGTAGCTGAATCTGGCACAAATTTGAGTGCTGGAGAACGACAATTGGTTTGTGTCGCTCGAGCCATTCTGAAGAGAAGCCACATATTGCTGATTGATGAGGCTACTGCAAATGTTGACTATGCGAC